CACTGCTGATACTTGATGGGGATGGGGGAAGGAGAAAAGAAAGCGCAGCTGCAGGTACGATGCTCGGTCTTGTGTTAGTTGGATCCCCACCGGCGGCCCTACCGTACCTCTCTACCACAACTACTAAGCAACATGCAACAACTTCATTGAAAAGTAAGAAGGCTTGCAGGGGTCCCTTGTACAACCTTAGAGGAGTTGTGGTAAATAGGTAGTGAAAGGTGAACTTGAGAGACGAATGTAGCTTGGCTCAGAGAATGGAAAAATTGTGTTTGTAGTACTTTGTACTAAGTTTGTACCCCATTTAAGATGGGAATTTCCGCTTTTCCCAATCCCAATGCGCAACTTGCGTATATATTGAGAGCCTGTCCAATATATACGCAAGTTGCGCGTTGCCCATCTTAAATGGAAAAATTGCGTTTGTACCCCATTTAAGGTAACACCCTACTTTGTCCCTATGCCCATTTAATTTTCCCGGATATGTGCATAACTTGAGCATTCTGGCAGTTGGGTATAGCTGCAATTTGGTTGTCCCGACCTTTGCCCGCCTCGGTCTCGGGTGTGAAAACAATAGTGCAGTGCGCATTTCCCAGGTACAGATGTGAGTTGGGCAGCAGGGCTGGGTATCGCAGCCATTGACTTTTTTTAACCCCCTAAAATTCAACTTTCAATTTCACATTGAGAGAGAGGCTAAGGTTCTCAGCGGTAAGTCCGGGCAATGACTGCCAGGATCATCCAGCTTAGCTTAACAGGCCTGGGCCTGCGGGACTCGTCGCCCTAGACCCTCCACAACTCGTTTGCTGGTTGATCTGCACTACCAAAACCTACGGCTACCTCCGAGTCTACTTTTTCTTTCCCTATCTTATACTACCTTTTTTTTTTTTTTTTTTTAATCTTATACTACATTCTTATTGAACCTATAATCACCTTTTATATTACAAGTTCTTTTTAGAGGATTGGAAAATATTCTAGGAGGCTACAACTACCCATTATGATTTCCATCCACAAATAATTGCTTTATATTCAGGACAATACACCGTACTACAGTTCCTCGTTTTGCGAACTCTCCTTCCCACCACTATTACCAATTAACTAGTACCTTCCTTCTGCGGAAATGCTGTACCGACGACCGTCAGGTTCTTATCAAGTTGCAGCTAACCACCTCGTGAATACCACCAGTCTTTGGATGTCCGGGTTTGAACAAGCATCGCAGCATCGCACTAAATAGAATTCAATCTTCATCCAGCTGAAAGTTGTCCTCGACTCCTCGCATATTTTAACCCAATGATTTTTCCACGAGTTCCAAATCCTCATGGAAAGCGCGCAAGATCGCCAGAGGTGAACCGTTGATTGTAATGGTTACTTACAGTGTCTGCAGGGAAGCTTTACTCTCATTCCTCTACTCTTGAGCCGAACTGGAGATGGGGTGACAAGCCAATATAACATCCGCGACTGTACGACTAATTTATGAGACGGGATTTAAGGCAGATATGATCAGGCGAGCGATACTGGTTGAGCGACCTCTACTGTCTTTCTCGATAATTTGTGACCATCTTTCTTTCAATCACCACCACCTGCGGAGGATTGGTGGTTTGGAGTTGTGAATAGACTATTATGGTGTCGTAGTCTGATAGCCAGCATTCGTGGTTCTGCCATCTCCACATTGAGGGGTTTAGTTTTAATTTACTCGCTGGGGTTCCTTCCGCCCCGAATGAACATGACCATTATTCCAACTTGGTGCAGTGTTCCAGACCACTTAGTTCTTTCAGATTCTTTCTGTTCCACCGACATCAGCTCAGAGTTTTGTGAATTCCCCTACATGAGGCTATACCCCCTTTTGAAATGTTATCTGGTCGCCATCCTCTACGAGCACCAATTGCCGACATCAACATGTGTCCGCTGTTCTCGGAAAGAGGGATTTTTTGTACCAAGGATTTAGAAATCCCATACAGGCCACTTACCCACTTCCTAAACCTTTGGCTGAAAACACACATATTTTTACGACTTATAAGAAGCTGTCTTGCTGTAAAAATAGTAGAGCAAAAATTCATACGTACAAGAAGAATGTCCAATCTTTTCTCCATTAATAATAAATAACAAACTCGACCTATATGTTTCAACGTGGTGAATGCATAAGCCCAATTAATATGGTCATAGGCTTCTTCTAGGCGTACGGGCAACACCGCAAAAGTCGAAGAGGTCGGTTGACAGAAAGGAAAGAAAGGAAAAGGTGGTCAAATAAGCACGCACGTACCTCGGCGCAGCGCGCTATACGACTGCTGTCTCTTATACACATCTAGATGTGTATAAGAGACAGATATGTTTCAACGTGGTGAATGCATAAGCCCAATTAATATGGTCATAGGCTTCTTCTAGGCGTACGGGCAACACCGCAAAAGTCGAAGAGGTCGGTTGACAGAAAGGAAAGAAAGGAAAAGGTGGTCAAATAAGCACGCACGTACCTCGGCGCAGCGCGCTATACGACTGGGAATGTGTTGAAATCTCAACCACCTCCCCCCCCCCCCGCCGACCGCAGAGGTCGAGAGGGTAGGCGGAAGGATCTGGGCGGAATTGACCATCGTCGAGATAAAAAATATGGTTGGGGAATAGAATGCCGATGGGCCTGCAGCTCAACGATGTTTTGAATTGTTCGGACGATTGCGCCCGACCTTGTGGTCGGGATTGTTAGAACAGTGCAACACAAGAACATATGCCGGGAAGTTTATGCCCGATCAGGCGGTACAAATTCATGAGAGCCCCAACCGCACGGTTGGGGCAGCTAAGGACTTACCCAGTTATCTGGCACAGGGCCACCCTACTATGGCTATTTGTTCTACTTCACTTCGAAGTGGGAGCTAGCCCAATACGGGATTCGACTTGTATACGACGGATCTAGGGATCGAATCTAATGCTCCGGCCATTGGGCTATCTCTAAATTTTTTGAGGCACACAATTAATCCTGTGCATTGCAAGGAGGTGAGATTCGATCCCGCAACCACTCGTTTAGGTCATTAGATATTCACAGACTGCTCTCAGCCGAAGCCGGGTAATGGCCCCGGTATCTCAAATGATCTCAAATTTTCTCAATGATCTGTACAATTCGATATGGGATGCTGGGTCCGGTTCCCAGCACGTGCTGCTCCCCACGAATAGACTGGAGCATTTGTTTGAAAAAAAAAAAAAAAAAAAAAAAAGAAGGAAAAAAAAGAAAAAAAGAAAAAAAAGAGGATTAGTTAAGAGTTGTAACGAGTTGAAGCTCCCCGCTGACAGTGGCACTGCGGGGAACTCGGAAGTCAGATTCCATTTTTTTTTATTTTTTTTTTCCTATTTCCTTTTTATTACTGTTTTTCTTGGTTTGTGTTTTTTTCTTTCCTTTTTATGACTGTTTTTCTTGCACGAGATAGGATTTGCCCCCTATTCACGAGAAAAATAACATTATTAGATCGGGAGTAAAGAAAGTAGAATCTTTTCCTTCTCTCTTATTTCATTCTTTTTTTCCTCTCGCCTCAGTTATCCGTTTGGAATCCTACGACGCCTGCCATTGCCCCTTTTGGAAACATAATTTGAGTGGATCCACCCAGGAAATAAGTATACATGCATTCAACATCAATAGAAGGTAGGTTGCCATGAGGAGAGGAGAGGAGAGGCGAAGCTTGGCACCCGAATCTGGACCAAATCAGGGCAGGATGCAGGGAAGCTCGAGTACTTCGTTTCCCTGCATCACCACCCGGAAGGCGTCCGGCTTTGGGCACTCCAACTTGACTCGCGATAAGAATGGGCTATAGATGGGCCCTGCCTGTGAGTGAGCAGATGAGACTAGGTAGAGGGAGTAGCTAGAGTGTAGACAGTTGTGTGTAGTTGAGCGAAGAGCAAACCACGAGAAATGGAGAAGCGCACGCAGATTGGAAACAAACCGAAGGGAGGAGGAGAGAGAATGAGTGCGGAGCAGTCGGGCAGTGAGCGTATATGAGAGCGAAGCAGCGCTAAAGCACGAGGCAAGCACTATACAAAGAAAAAGCAAGTGTTGACGACATACAGGAACATGAGGGCGGGGGCAAAAGGGAGCTCCGTCATAAACAAGCAGACAACCCATTACAGGACGACGAGGGCCAAGTCCGATGAGCAACTAGGTCAAAAGGTTTTTGACCGACGTAGGCCCAGTTATGGCCATGAGATTTCGCGATCGGACGGCAGTGGGCATTCGGAAACTATCCCATTTACTCCTACAAAAAATGCGACGGGACCCACGACACGAGCTGAGCTTCAACCCAGATGATGATGGTACATGACGAGTAAAACCAAATATTTCTAAATTGCTTGGGGCCGGTCAGCTTGATGATGATATCTCAAGCCCAAAACTAAAAAAGTTTTCTCTCTTTTTTCTCTTCTCTCTCTATCTTGACAGGTTTTCTCACTGCTGGTGCGGGTGCGCCCACAGCACGTCATGGACGTATTGACCACAATCGATGGACTCTAGCATATATACGGGAGAAAATTCCAGGAATGCACATATCAAATATAGAAATGAAAAAAAAAAAAACAAAAAAAAAACAGCACATCATAGACGTAACAGAAATGCTTATTGAGATGTTTAGCACTACAGAAGTAAGAGAGGAGCTCCCCGTGGCTCCAGCAGAGCCTGAAAGGCTTTTCTTTTCGCAAAAAAACATCGTGTGAAAAAGCAAGGAGAATGACAGCCATGCAGAGGAAACACAGCGAAATCAAAATATAACAAACAGATGACGCCCCCCCCCCCCCCCCCCCCCCCCCTCTCTCTCTCTCTCTCTCTCTCTCTCTCTCTCTCTCTCTCTCTCTCT